CTAGTAGGTTTTTTTTTTTTAAATGAGCAAATAGACCTCAATCAGAAATGCGAGTATAGAGCTTTACCTGACATGTAGAGAACTGGCTCAAAAATCTACTGTATACACTGATGTCCCCAGGATTATTTTCTTAACACCAGAAAATTATGGTTATATCTTTCTGAATAATCTACAAACATGTATTCATTTTCCTACTCAATTCTGCACTACTAATCTAGTCATTCCTGTTTTCATGTATGTATGCACCTGTTCACAGTATATTAAGGATAGATATATTTAGCAACAAGAAATGCCCAAGTCAGGATAACAGCAGGAAGTAATCTACATAAATGAAGCTCTTGACAATACCAGAATAATGTGTATTAATTTCAGGTGTGAATTTATTTATTTATTGTATTTAGTACAGGGTGCACAGGGTCTCACTACACACATCAGACTCAGTGATTCTCATTTTCAGCTTCCCATGCACTGGGGTTACAGGCATGCGCCAGTATGCCCAGTCTCAATCACCAGCTCAGTGTGCCCTGGGGGCGGGGCCAGCATGGCAGGCCGGGGATCAAACCACCATCAGGTGTGAATTTAAGCAACTCCCATTTCCTTTTCCAACCCATCAATCCACTTAAGTTATACAAACTTTAACTTATAGGATTTCTAGCTGGAAAGAATAACCCACGGTACACTCATTAAAGGAAAAGTTCTAAAACTCCAGAAGTCATTGCTTTTAGATCTAAGTGTTCTAATCACTTAGAACACAGTGATTAATGTGTTCTGCACCATTACATATAATAATTCACCCTCTTGGGAGGGGGATGAAGAAACAGTAGTACTTCAAGTCTTACTGATGGATCTAAATACCTGCAAGAGTCCAGGCCATGTTATTATTAATTCTTCAGGCCTCGTCTATAAACTGGTATAGCAGCACTTTCTTACCTTATGCAGTTCTCCTGAGAGCCACTTAACACAGCTGTTGGAAGGAAAGCATTCTTACCCATGCTGTAGACAAGTTTCAGTCACTCTATTCACGTTATAAATTCTTTCACTTGAATCACTCATGCACTGCATTGTTCATGCCTTACAGAGGTCCTGTGCCCCCTGCTGTTGAAATGTGAACACATTTGGTTGTCGGTGAAACTGAAGGGAAGTATACTGAAATACGGTAATCCTCTTTATGGTGAAGATAAAAATACTTAACTAAAAATTCTAAGTAACTACCTCTAAGTCAAGGGGAACATGATTTCCATTTGATCCACCAAAATGAAGGCAAATAAAGCTAATTCTCATCAGAGATTTTCTTGGTATTGAGGCTTTATGATCTGTTATTCTCAAATTTATACTTCTACTTCCCTAAAACCTTCACACCTTGAGCTTGTGGACCTCCGCTCTTCTACCTCTTTGCTCCTTTCCCAGGGAGAAAGCTTCTGGTTGCCAGAAACTTGATGGTCATATAAAGACTTCAAAAGATGTTAACTGATTCAGCTTTTAACCTTTAAGCAAATGGTTCCTGATTGTGTATAGGTTTTATTTATTTACTTGAGACAGGGTTTCACTATGCAGTTCAGGCTTGACTTTGAATTCACTATGTGGCCCAAGCTGGCCAGAACTCATGGCAATTCTCCTGCCTCAGCCTCCTGAGTGCTGGAATTACAGATGTGCACCACTATATCTGGCCATCTATATTTTGACACTCAAAGAAATGCAAAGCATCACGTGTCAGAGATTTCTTTTGCATATTAAAGGGAGTAGTGGTCATTAAATTCAAAGTGTGATGGTCAGAAGATGCCTTATGTATTAGACATTCTAAAAAAATGTTGCTCAATTTATCCTATTTTTACATTTCTGTTCCGTAGAATGTCAATTCATAACCAACACTGAGAGTTCAATTGTTACTTGTTGAATAAATTACCTTGATCTAGATCTCCAAGGCTGACTGGAAGACAGTCTGCCTGCACTGACCTTCCAAAACCTGTCTTGAGCACAGGTCTCCCTGGAAACCCTATTCAGGTCCAGCCTTGGCCTCTGCCAAGCCAGTCTTCATTTGCATGAGTTCTATGACTCCCAAAAGGTGTATTTTTAGATTTGGGGACATAATTTTATTAGTACATCTTCACCCTGGTGTCCTCCAATGTAATGCTACCATTTCTACTATTAATCCTTAACATTAGGCAACTGAGAAAACTTTTAAAGGATACAAAGTCCATCCTAACCAAGAGTTCCTTCCTCTGAAGATTTGAAAAATGGTCACTTTTTTAAAAAGATTATCTTTTTGTCTCTAGCATTAGGAACATATTTTTTTAAAAGGAACATATTTTTAAAAGGGGAAATTTTAGATGCTTTCAAGAAATCAGTAATTATTTCACCAATTCAGTAAACCATTTTGCCAATTAATCTTTTATTTTTTATTACATACATCAATATTTTACAGAAATAAAGAACCCCATAATGTTAAACTGTATTGTCATTTTCAATGTTGAAACCTAAATTTTTACAATTATAACCAGTAAACATAATTTATATTCTAATTAACATTTTAATTCTAGTTTTGCATACAATTTTACATATAACAACATGTAAAGGCTATATAAGTTTACCATAGCAACAGCATCACACTAAGATTGATTCATGTCTCCCATGATAATGAGCTTTTGAAAATCAAAACTTGTGCAAGCAGCTTCTTTGAAATATTTTCCTGGGTATATGCTACTCAAAGCAACTTAGTAAAAGATCAGGCGTAGAGATTGTTAGTCCCCTAGTTTTTGTTGCTGTTATTTGTTTTAATGACTACTAGTATATAATACTGTTAGTATGAAAACACATGCACACTTAAAAATTTTTGCTCAGTATAATAGCATGAAGTAGGTCAAAGTTGTTTCTATTTTCACTTTTAGTATAAGTTCACTTGAATATCATTCTATGAATTTCTACTTGTATCAGGTCACTTACATTCTTTATAAATCTGCCCACTAAGGAGGATAAGCCTTAGAGAATTCCATCCACTTTAGAAAATATTAAACATTTGTGAGCCCAAACAGCTTTTGCTCACCTTTCCTCTAGAATACACTTTCTATTTTTCTAAACTGATCTGCCTTGTCGATGCTTCTCATTGCTGGGAAATCTCTCCACTATTATTGGGATGCAAATATTTTTCTTTTATATGTAACATTTTCATTCATTTGAAATAAAATGCATTATCAAAAGAAAAGTGAACCTAGTATCTCCACATTGACCCAGCTGGTCCTTCTATTCACTCTATTAAATACATCTTTCTAAATGTTTTACTAATCTTAAACATTCTATTTATTAAATATTTATTTATTTATTGGTGGAATCGGGGATTGAACTCACGCCCTTGCGCTTGCCAAGGAAGCACTTATTCTACTGAACCATCTCTCTGGCCCCTTAAACATTCTATTTAGCACCACAGAATACGCAGAAAGATTGCTTACCAGAATAAAGATTTGAAAGGTAAAATTCCCATTTTTTAACCCTAAATTAAAAACAAATTACATCTCCAACACTGTCAAACTGCATAAAGCATTCAGTTGGAATGTTAAATAGTATTATAAAAAAGTCTGTCACACATTAGCATTGATCTGGGTGTGGTTTTATATAAATTAACTAATCCCCACAATAATTGTTAAATATTATTTCTATGATATAGATGGAGAAATGTAAACTAAGATAATCTCCCCAAGATTAAACAAAAGGTAAGAAGTAATGCAAGGACTTTGCATTTACTACTTTTCTATTATACTAGACTGTCTCTAATGGAAGTATTCTCATATTTTAAGTTTAGTTCTTTCAGGCTACTTCTACTTAAGTATCTTAAATTATCCCAATGTAGTTGTGTAACTTTCCTTAAATGGCTTATAAATACACAACTGCACTTATCAGTGGGCTCCTAGAAACAGGATTATTATCTTATATATCCTGCAAATTCCTGAATTCTTTTACTATTAATATATGTTTGGCTAGTTATAAAGCCATGTAAATAGAAAATATTTATGCTGCTTTCCTTGCCTCATTTTGCAAAATTTTTCACTGCTGTTTCTTCAACCATACGTAAATGTAGTGCCAGCACAGCTTGAGAAATGTTTTTCCCCAATATGACTCTCAGTTAAATTTTTTTTTTTAATGTATTTAGGGTCTACTGGGTCTCACTATGTAGATTCTCCTGTTTTCAGCCTCCCTAGTGCTGGGATGACAGGCACACGCCACCACACCCAGTCTCAATTGCAGTCTCAGCATACCCTGGGGATCAAACCCTGGCCACTGTGCTCTGCCTACGCAGGTGCTTTAGTTGGCTGAGCAATTTGGCTGTCCCTACTCTCAGTTAATTTTAAGTAATTACTTGTCATATTATGAGATGCCTATGAAATCATTAGCACCAACAATTAAAGAGGAATGGTAAATGTTTAAAAAGTTAATCTAATTAATTTTTACCATTTTGTTCTGTTGATGTTGATGGAATGATTAGTCTAATGAACACTAGAATTACAATTCTGAGTCATAGGAAGTAACTTATTTGTTGCCATCATTTGCCAAAATTTTACTCTGTGTCTGTTCAAAATAAGAACTGTTTTATGTTTGGGTTTTTTAATTAAAGTGTATTTGCCCCCACATACAATCAGCTTATCATCTTTCATAATATCTAGATATTTATTCTAAAACATTTCAAAAAGCTGACCAATAAGCCCATTAGAAATTCTAACTTGTCAAAAACTACACTGAATTAGTATCATATAAATTCTTAAAATGTTTATTGGTTATAATTTATCTCATTTCCAACTTGTTATTTTGCACTGGTTTAAAGAAATAATATATTCACTTTCTTGGTTTTTAAAATAATATTTTTGCCTAATCTAATACTTTTTCCATATTTCCATTATACCATCTTTTACAAATTCTCACTGTTCCTTTCCACAATTTCTTATGACTAATCTGTGTTTCTGAAAAACTTTTGAGTAAGCCTGAATTTCTTTTACCTTGAGATTTTTTTAAAATTTTAATTGCTACCTTGTAGGTTATTAGACATTTTAGTTGTTATAAGTTTAAGATTCACCCAACAATATGACTTTACTACATTTAAAACATCAATATTAATACCAAACCACAACTTTTCTGCTTTCAGTAAACTATTACTTATAAAATCAGTCTTCTCTCATTTTCCTTACATATAGAATAGCAATCGAAGAATGTAGCTTCATTTATTTACATTTTTGGTAACACAATCTTCAGATAGGCCTATTAACAAAGGCAAATTTTGTTTAAGAGTCACAGCTCTAAATGTACACGCAACATTTCTTTGATTCTATAATATGCTGTAGAATCAGCATTTGTAGTCTTTTTCCCCAAGATACTGATCTCACTAGGCACTTTTACTTCTTTTATAATAACTACACTTTGCTAACAGTGAGCATTAGTGAAAGGACAAAAGATTTAGGGATCATGAAAGACTACATAAGCTTCCAATATTGGCTTCTCCACAACAAATTAGTTTCAAAGTAAGTCATAACTCCCTCACAAGGCTGTTGAGAAAGCTATGGAAAACACAAGATTAATTACCTACTGCACAGTAAATGCTTAATTCAGAGCAAAAACTATTGAAGGGTCTCTTCCTAAAAGATTATTTTCTTCCCAATATATAGAAATGGGACAGAATGAGGAAGAGGTTCCCTTTTCTGACAGTCCTGCAAGTCGTTAACACTGAAATTCAACCAGGTTTATGATTTCTGTTGACCGTACAAGGAAAAAATACTTCTATTTTCTATAGACAACTGCCAATAGGCACAAGTGACTATGAATGCTGTTAGGGGCACAATAAATCCTAATTTGATTCATTCTGCAAATTAAAAGTTGTTAATTAAAGTGGAATAGCCAACAGGTGGTACATTCTATCCTGAGGAAACTTAGAGGAGAAAATGTACTTACAAAGCTTTAAAAATCATTTGTAACCCAAAGTTAAAAATGCTTCATTCTAATTTTTTAGGAATTTCAAAACAACAATCTGAAGTATCTTCCCCTAGGGTAATCTATTTTCTTTTTTCTTTTCACTAGAATTACTTGTTGGAAGTTCTTTTCATTCAGGTGTCAGAGTAATATTCTACATTTTTTCAACTAACCTTATACACTGCACTTTCTTTGCAATGTATCTCCCCCATATGAGTTGTTCTACTATCAGCTAATCTCAGTTTCTTTTTGTAAAGCAGAAGGTTATGGTGGTGTCATTGTTTCACTTTGTTACAAGGACTAAGTAGGCAAATAAACTGTAAAATGTAAACATGAGGCCTTCACAAAGGACCATGCAAAACTAATCTTTTAACAACTAGACAAGTGTATTGTTATTATACTGGCACTTTCATTAAATGTTGTTCTATCAAGTCTACATTATATTATATACAAAAAACTCACATAATACATTATTTGTGGTAGCAAAAGTAATAGCTGCAAAAGTAACTAACGTATTTCTTATATTATTACTCTGTAGACAATGATAAAATATGAAGATCAGTAGCTGGTAACAGTTTCACTTTCCTTTAGGCAAAGCTGCTAATATGGAACTCTTTCTTACATAGATATCCAAGATTCAGATAAAGCTAACCCTGTTTTAAGTCTCTAGATCATGGAGCTGATTCTGAGACACAAAGTCCAATAACCAAATAAATCAGTTACTTATTAACAAAGACCTTCAATAGCCAATGTCTCAAAGAAATGTAAAGACATCTGCATAGCATTCAACATATAACCAGTCCTAATTAGTCACACAAAAAGTCATCCTTCATATGAGAATATTCTGAAGCCAAGATGAAGTGTATTTCCAGTTGGTTATTTTCTAGTTTTGTAGGGGGCTCTCCAGGTTTTCGCCTTCCTCAGGAGATTCTAGCTTGGCCACTGTTACAGTGCTGGTTCCAGGAACATCTGGTTGTTTATCATCACCATCAAAGATAATGTCTTCTGGATTTGGCGGAGGAGGGCAGAATTCTTCACTTGGAAAGATCTCCTGGAACACTGTTTCTGCTAGCTTGACTGCGTGCTCACTTCCCAGTCCAGAGTCAGGCCCAGAGCAGACATAAACATTGCAAGGTAAGCCACAATATGAGCTTCTGCTGACTCCTGAGGAATCTCTCATATTAAAATAAAGAGCCCATAAGAGTCTTGGCTTTCTAAGTTCTTCCTCATCTACTTCTGTTTCGGCAAAAGGGGTGAATAATTTTTTCACCACTGATTCTAAGTCTTCTCTTGCTGTTTTTGAAGATTCACAGGACAGATGTACTAGATAGGTACCTTTAATACATGTCATGGTTGATGAACATAATTCTGTGACTCGGACAGAACAAGCTCCTGGTTCCACCGGAGGTACTATCAAAATGGAAATCTGCTGATCAGAATCTGTCTTTAGTATAGACTGATCTGTAATAAGCACTGCCCTCGAGATCTGCTTATATTGCACAGTTGAGCATGTTTCCTTAGAAAGGTAACTATCTTCCACAATGAAATAGTTAGCATTTATTCTTTGACCAAAGTGATCTATAACTGCTTTACATCTTCCAGATTCTTTGTCAACTACAAGGCATTGGATTTTATGGCGAAGGCAATAGATGCCACCAAAAACTGCACACATCCTGCAAAAACATTGAGGAATTTCTCCTTGGCCATACAAAGGAAATAAAAAGGGAGTGTTGCCATACCGTCCAAGACACTGCAGGAAGTTTTTTGTTGCTTTAAGGCCATCTAATGTGCAAGATGAATCTGATGTCATTGCAATGGAGTGTAGTATAAAATGTCGGAGGTTGGGGGTTAGTTTTTTAGTTTTTAAGTACTCAGAAAACAAACACTGCTGGAAATCTTGATATTCATCAGGATGCTGTTCATAGTCTAAACAGAATGTAAGAAATTTCATTAGCATCCTCTTCTCAATCATAGTGAGTTCTTTGCTATTAAAGACATCTGCTCTGGAGCAAGGCACCTGTTCTACCTTTCCTTCCCGAAATGCAAGAATCCTAGTGACATTTTTAAATTCTGCATAACGACTAACATTTGATTTGATTAAAAGATCAATCAGTGATCCTTGAGAATACAGCAGCTTTGATACCAAATCAATATTAAACCCTCTGCTTTCTTTAACCATTTGAGGATAAGTAATTGTATTTCTCTTTGGTTGACTGGTACTGTCTTCCACTGTAGGTTTGTTTTCAACCATATCTCCATCTGAAACTGGATGCACACAAGTTTTTTCTCCACAGTACTTCTCTTTGTCTAGTGACTCCTCTGTATCACTTTCTTCTAGTGAAACCTTGCTATCACTTCTTGGGGTTTGTTCAACAGGTATTTCATTGCTAGTAATGTCTGATTGTCTTTCTTCAGGCATTTCTGCAGAATGCAGAGGTTCGGTGAGGGTATCAGATACTGAGGAAGCATCTTTCTGCAGAGCACCAATCTCATGAACACTGTCCTCTGCATTTTGGCTGGCATAACAAAAAACTTCTGTGTGCTGAATAGTCTCAGCCTTCCTGCAAAGAGCAATGGCTTCTTCTGTTTCATGGATCAAATCTTGCCACGCAGCAGCAGTTTCCTCCTTGGAGTCACTGTTTTCCTGACACTCCTTCAACCAGGAAAGCAATCCTGAAAAGCTGAAGCTAGCCCAATTCCCTCCATAGTAACTTCTTGAATCAACATGCAGAACCCTCTGTCCACTTCTTGAGCATGCAGCTGCAAGGATAGATTCAGGCAAACCTGTCCCTATTATAACCACATCAAACTCTGTGGGAAGATTATCTGCCATTGTAGGAGGTAAAGATTCAGGTAACAGCTGCTGATGAAGAAAATATGTATGAATCTAGGCTGAAGCTCTGCTGAAATGTGATTCCAGTTCTTCCAGCAGCACTGAGTTTGCAGGTCCTAGCTGTTTAACTTGTTACCCTTTTAAAGTTTTTTATATTAAGTCAGTAGCATAGAAACATGACAAAGGACATCTAATCACATCTGAGAATACTAAAATGGATGTGTAGTTGTCATTCCTGTATTTCATCTTAGCAGTAAATGCCAAAATACATCACATATGCATTTGTGACTGGAACTCTTCTCTGAAAGAAGAAAATTCAAGAAAGAATACAATTGTAAACAATATAAAAGTAATTTCATGCAACAGCAATTATAATCCACTGGGGCCTGACTGGTTACCTGGTTACAAACCTCTACCAACAAGTCATGAAATGCTTTTTCACATATTTTCTAATTTCCTAAAAAAAGAATAACAGATATACCCACCAGCGCCAAATCAGGCAATGTAATAATAATAAAGAATAGACATAATGTCCCATAAAAGTTTAAAAAATTAACACAATTCCTTGCTTTTAAAATATCAGAATAAGGTGGGCATGGTGCTGTATGTCTGTAATCCCAGCATTTGGGACTTGGAAGGCTAAGGCAGGAGGACTGCTGCAAGTACAAGGCCAGCCCAGATAAAAAGTGAGTTCAAGGCCAATCTAAACTACATGGGGAGAACCTGTATCAAAAAACAAACAAAAATAAAATACCTGAATAATGATGTTTGTAAGTAGGATATCATGTCTGTATCTTGTACAGCAATTAACCACTAGGAAGAATATATACAATGTGTTAATTATTGAAACTGTCCTACCAGTTTGGTTTGAAACTGTCTCACTGCTATTTGTTTCTCAGTAAATTTATGGAAAAAAAATAAGAATATAGACAGTATGAGCTTAGATAAAAAGAAATGCTTAGCTTCACTGTGCTTATGGAAACAGATAAAATGATGTCTACCATGACAAGCAAGAAATATTTCTGAGAGCAAGAAACAATGGGTGTTTCTTTTGAAAGGGGTGATTCCAGAACAGCTGAACAGACCTTTTAATGGTCCAAACACCCTTAGGAACTGTAGCAGCAATATGAGACTATTTTGAGTTAACCTTGCTGATTATTACAAAGAATTAGTTCAGTAAAACATTTGGCATTAAAAAGTACATACATTAGAACATGCTTACTGAGGGATAAAATGTTCATATAACATCTTTATATGGATTCAAATGTGCATATTTTCTAAATTTTAAAAATTCTTAGATTCAGATATTAAAATAATTGAACATCTATTTCTGACATTTGAATAGTGATATTTGTTGTCTCTGCAACCCTGAATCTCTGGACCCCAAGAAAGGGTTTTTAAAAAAAAAAAAAAAAAAAATCCTCTGTTGAGACTAACGTGCTATTTTTATTTTTGAAAGTTTAGTGAAGAAAATCTGTTAACTTTAGCTGGTTATATTCTACATGTAGAACAACTATGTGACATTAGCTATAGCCAGAAGTGGGACAACCAACAATCTGAAGGACTTACCTGTAAGTCTTCTGGCTAATGCACTGTACAGACCTCAGCACTAGGCTTTCTGTGCTTCACCACTGTCAGTAACAGTGAACTTTTTTGGTTTTTCTTTTAATGTCTAACATTCACTATTGTTAAATCTATGAAAATCTATGTGGTGTAAGCTGGACTTGCCAAAGCTACAACATATGATTATTCTGGATTTGGGTAAATCAGCCATTCAATCACAACTTATATAACTGACTACGTCACTCAATTGCCCAGTCAATTTAACTGAAAGGCAAATCCTAACAATCCTATCCATTCATATTCTACCTCAAGAATATCAGAGATTCCACTTATTTTCAGCATTTTCTTTGAAGCCAGGATTTGAGCAGAGAGTAAAGCAGTTGTCTTGGTCTAGTGGTCTACTCTCACACATATATATGTGTATTTCTCCATCACTTATCTGGCCTTCCAGTAGATGTGAAAAGAAAGACAACCTATGAAGAAGTGTAACCACAGTGTGTGCTTTCCTTGGCTTGGCAGGGAATAAGGCTAAGGGTGGGAGTAAGAGGCTGAGGCTGAGGGTGGGAACACATGGGCCATAAACCCCAAGGCTCTTCTTAGCCTGCTGGGATCAAATACTCCTCAAAATACAAAGCAAGTGGAATCAGCTTCAAGAACATCAAGCTCAACTACTCTTTGAAACAGACAAAAATGTTGTTGGGGAGGTTTGGTGAATTGGGAAAGCCCATACAATAAGTCAGCCACAGGATCTAGAACCTGCCCAGTCTTGTGCCACCAGACCAGTGGTTTTCCCACCAGATATAGCAGTCCTTCCAAAGCCTCTGGAGCATTTTAACATTTCTTCCCACTTTAACTTTATGGCTAGTTCTTGCTCAAGGGTAAGAAAAGGGGAAGTATTTTCCCTTTCATTTTCCTTAACTCAATCTAGAAGCACATTCCAAGCAAATAATTTTTTTTTTTTACCTTTACTAAGAACATTTTAAGCCCCACAAATAGCATCATGCACTCTTGTCTATGGGGTTTAATCAAATCTCTGATCCTCTAACCTGAATGTCTACCTCTAATTTTAAAATGAGAATATAGATACAGTTGAAAGGATTAAAAATGCCCTGAGAAACAGCAGACATAAGATACAATGTCAGGTGGAGATGGTTTCCAGCAGTCTTACAAAATAATTTCTGATCAGAAAGGGACTCCACCAGGATTGGTGAAGAACAAAAGGAAGCATGTAGGAGATATCAAAGAGTGGGTGCTGCAGAGGGAAGAGGGTGGATTTCTTTCTTATAAAGAAATTCAATGCAACCTTATTATCAACCTCCAAGGTGCAGAAACAGAAATTCTGAGCAGAGAAAAGGCACTTCTGGAAGTAGGAACCTCCATGTATGTGAACAAACGTGGTATCCATGCTAGGCAGCATTAACAGTAACACTTCGGGCTTGGGCTAGAATCCCCTTCTTCAAGGGGCTTTTAGGTTCAGGCCTGCCTAAAGTTTCCTAGTTGGTATTTTTAATTAATGTAAAGAGTACAATCACATAACCATGTATACCACCATCTACATACCTATTTGGTTCCCTCTCCAAGTTCCAAATTTTTGTGCAAAGGAAATTCTCAGATTCATTTTGGAAGAAGAGAATACTAGACTCAGAGCCAATCATCTAAATGAATGACTAGCTCTCTGACATTCTGTTGCCTCCTAATTACGTATTAAAAAAATGAATCATTACAATACCACAGTATTTGGGTTTGTCAGGGTACTGGACGCTGGTGACTAAGAAAATATTTGTGATAAAAAATATTTATAATAATGCTACAAAGATTGCTCTTTAACATCTGCCAATGTACAAGCAGTTATAAATTATCAGTGGATTTTCAAGATTTAAAAAGGAATTTTTAAAATCTGAGAAATACACATTTCCATTTCTAATCTTTGTGTGAATGAAATTTCTGGGGCACACAAAAAAATTTCTTTCCTGTACTTACTGTACTCTGTGTGGGTCGTTTTCAAAAAGTCAAATCCCATTGAGACTTAGAACTTCTGTAATGATTAGAAGTAATTCTAGAAACAAATCTGCAACTATCAAGTTCTACTTTAATGAAACCTACTCACTACACAGCAATTTGTTCACCTGCGATGGGATTCTCTGAGGCATCGGTAATCTCAACTTTGACTGTGCTACGCCATAACCTAGGAAGAAAAACAGTAAAAATAGCCTATAGGGAGCATGCCATTTTGCATCTGAGGCCATGAATGAAACTATAGCACTCTTTGGGACGCATTTAAAAGTTTACAACTGCTATCGAACAAAAGAAAAAATATATATACACTGCTCCTATTTTAGGTTTCTACCTTCCATCTCACAAAACTAATAGCATATGACTTAAATCGTTTTATTCCCTCCTACAACTTTCATGAGTTAATCACTTTTTTGTTGTTGAACCTCTTCACTCCATAGACCCTGCTTTTTTTCCCCAAACTGAAATGCCCTGCAAAACTGTATCAGGAGATGAAAACCAGAAAAGGCGAGGAGAGGCTGGAGCTGAGGAGCCGGGAGAGGGCGGGTCAGGGGCTGCGTGAAGGCAGCGCGGGTGCAGGATGCGAAGGTGGAAGGCGTGCGGGGAGCTGGGGCCGGGAGCGCGGGCGGGACCGCGACGGGGAGGTGGCGGGAGGGGAAGGGGACAGAGGCCGAGCGGAACGCGGACGCTCAGAAGCTGTGGCAAGGCGGGAAGAGAAGTTTGCAGGGCGGCGGAAGCTTCCCCTCCCGGCCCACTCACCGAAGAGGCTGCTGCTAAACCCGTCCCACACGCAGCCCACGGCGTCCCACACCCAGCCGTTCCTCAGGCAGGACACGAAGGTAAAGGTGACCCCGAAGAGGGACACCAGCAGGTCGCTGAGGCTGATGTTGGCCAGGAAGAGGTGGGTGGGAGAGCGCAGCCGCTGGAACTTGTAGTAGAGGACGAGCACCAGCAGGTTGCTGCCGACGCCCAGCAGCCCGAGGGAGCCGAGCAGCAGCGCCAGGCGCTCGTAGGTGCCCGGGCTGAAGAGCGGCGCGGAGCTCAGCGTCCCTGACTGCGCCGCACCCTCGGCCCCACCGCCTTCCCAGTGTCCCTGGCCGCCGCTGCGGTTCCCCGAGTACATGGCCCGGCGCCCACACAACGAGCAGGACAGACCGCGGCGCGTAGCGCACTGGGTGGGGCTGGAGCTCGAGCTCCGCCGCGGGCTTTAGCCATTGTGCGGGCAGGCACCCCGCGCCGGGACCGCCCTCCTCCGCCCCTTCCGCCCGCGCGCTCCTCGTGGCTCCGCCCCCTCCGCGTGCGCGTCCCCGCCCTCCACGGCGCTCCCGTACTCCCGCCCCCTCAGCGTGCGCGTCCCCACCCACCCTTGCGCTGTCGCAGCCACGTCGGTCTCGGCGCGGCTCTTCTGTGCTCTAACGTTAATGCGCGCGGGGTCGAGTCTGGGTCCTCACACCACGTCTCCCCGCACCCGGCTTGAGAACATAGTGTTCCTTCGCCCGTTTCATTCATAAATATTGATGCCCATGCCCACATAGGCTTTTTCTTTTCCTGAAAAGCTGGAATAACGCTACTTCCCAGAACCTAAAATAAAGGAACTTGTAAATAAAAATAACAAGTCGGAAAGCTTGGGAGATGATACTAAAGCAAACGATCGTAGAAACAACAAAATAGGGGGAGAAGGAAAACTGATAGAGCACCTGAGAACTGGAGGATGAAGTGGAGGGCTGCAGCAGGGAGGGGTGGGACACCTGCCACCCTCAGGGTTTCAGGACCCGGAAGGCCCGCGTTAGAGGAGGACTAAGGTTAAGCCTCAACTGAACCCCACATCCTTGTGTCCCGCCTTGATGCAGGGACAGATCTGTCCCTGTCTGCTGAAGCCCTTCCTGGAGGTGACTGTGTAGGCTGTGCCCCAAAGCTTCAACCTAAATCTGACAGGTATAGAGAAGAAGGTGCTATATTTAGAACAGCACACGTTTTCCACTGGGCCTTTTCCCCGGTAGCAATGAAAATATAGCGCAGGTCAAATATAGATCGTGAACGTGATCACACTCTTCAAGGATACCATTGCCTCTGTTCCACACAGTCCCTACCAAGGCCTCCCTGAGCCTTCGTGTCAAGTTGTGTCAAGTTGTCCAGAGCACCTGGTAGCCAGCAAGAGTAAAGACGCTGTAACTGCCCCACCTCCTGGGTATGTTTACCTCTCCCACTTGGGTGCAAAAGATCAGTCAGCTAGTGACTAGCTTCAGAGAATTCCAGTTCCAGATTCCCCAGAGAGAATCTAGCCTAGCGCACACTGGTGGTCTGTTTTTCATACTGTTGGGTTGAACAATAGCCACAGGGCAGTTACAGCGTCTAATTGGACTTGTCGTTTACGAAACTAGCCAATTACCCTCGAAATCGTTTTCTATTTTAGACATACATTTAACAAGTCCTATGTGTCACATGTTTACTGTGTTTTCAGTATAGCACCTCCTCTACAGTAAATTTTCAAAGATATTAGTTAAATGAATGAATGAATGGCTCACTATACTGTTTTGTAAATATTTCATTCATTCTTTGGTGCTGAGTCTCTGCCTCATAAAGCTTACATTGTAGCAGTTTTGGGAGAGTAGACAATAATCAAATTAGAACAAATGTGGGAAGTCAGAGTCTAAGTGTGATAATGTGTTATAAGGCAGACAAAAAGTATGAGAAAAGAGAAGTGGATTATTATTAAGATATGGTAGGGTGGGCCATGGTGGTGCATACCTGTAATCCCAGCATTCTGAGAGGCTGAGGCACTTGGAGACTAGTGTAGCCAACTTAGTAAGGCCCTGTCTCAAAATAAAAAATGGGGATGTAGTCATTGTGAAGGCCCTGGGTTTAGTCACTAGTACCACAGAAACAAACAAAAAATCCCAGTGTGATTAAGGTAGTACTGATCAAATATTGCACATACAGGATTCTGGTACTGAAGGGAATCTGTGTTTAGACTATCAGAGAAACCACAAAAAAGCCAATGTGGCTGGAGCAGAATGAAACTAGGAATGAAGGCAGAGATTGTAATGAAAGGAGTTTGGCTTTTGTACTCTCAAAGTCCTAGACCATCCCCATGCAAGAGGAGTAATAGCAGTGAATGCATAAGAGGAAAAAAGTCATTTTGCAAACATATAAGAACTTTCGGGCAGGAAACCTTTTCAGGATACACACATATGATTTCCTTTGTTAGTATGTTTCTTGTCAGTTTCAGATTTACATATTGATGGGTGTGATACTGGTGACAGATAGTGGCAAGATACTACCACTTTAAAAGTAAGTGCAGTTTCTTTGATGCATTTTGAGTTAATATTATGTATGATGTAACATGAGTCCAACTTCATTCTTTTGTGTATAGATAGACAGTTTCTCCAGCATTTGTTGGGAAAGCTGAATAAGCTTGGCATCCTTGCTGAAAATCAATTTGCTATATCAAGAAAAAACACCAAAACAACACTCAGGATTTGGAAGCAGTTCATTTATGTTGACAGGCACTAATTGGGAGCATTCCCAAAATATCAGGCCTCAAAGGCCCACAAGGGCAGGTTTTTATGGGTTGCAAAGGTAAGGTGCAGAGGTAGAGTGCTTGGCTGTCTTTGATCGTTTCCTACAGTATGCATCACAGTGACCAGCCATTTGTAGGAGACAGTAACAATCAGAACTCCAACAGGAACTGTCACCTGAACAACTGAAATACACTGGGGTGGGGGCGACAGCAGGCAGCAATTTTTGCTACATTTTTTCCCTCTTTTATTGTCCCCAGCAAATCCTTGCTTGGCAGATTATATGTGATCTTTTGAGACAAGGCCCAACTAGAAGCAGTAACATTCAATGGTCTGAGAATTGGCCCTAGCCAAGGTCCCCAAGATTGGAAAGTTTTCCCTTAGTTTTGTTTTTAGGAAGACACATATTTCCCACTTAGTGGTCATAATTTACTCTGGCAAGGGAGTGAAAGAGTTGATCTGATCTAGGAGAGTATTCAGTTTTCGTTGGGTGATCATCAAATCTTCGTCAAGTATTTGACTAATTGTCAAAAACCACAACTAGCAGAGGAGGGGGAGCAAAAACCAAGTTGAATAACACAATATCACAAGCTGAAGTGGAAGGAAGAACTGGGGTAAGGTGCCTGGAAAGGCATAAAAATTAAGGGGGCTCATGCTTTGAGATATGGAGCAATCCTGTGAATGGTGTCCTTAGGCTTCAGCCGGGCATGACTGGTCTGGAGTTACCAGAGCAGGGCTTTGAGTGCATTGTCTTCAGAGTGAGCCCTGGAAGAGCTATCCAGGTAAACTCTCCAGCAATTTCTGGATGGGCTCTTTTAACTCTGAAATGAATGATCTAAGGCTGGATTTCTGAAACTTGCAGAGGTAGTTAATATACACTTGGGCTACGTATATGCCAGGGTGTTTACAGGTATTGATGGTCTTTTAGCTAAATTTTATGGAGTTAGATACAAGCATTTTCTATAGCGTTATGTTTCTGTCTCAGTTATCTTGTTGTTGCTGGAACAAAATACCTGACCCCCAAAATTAAGGATGAAAGGTTTATTTAACTCACAGTGAGTGGAGGTTTTAGTTCATACTTTGCTGGCCCTAAGGCAGACTCTAAGGCACATGGCAGAGGGCAGCAGTTTATGGTGGTGGAAACAGCAAAGAGCAAAGGGAGAAGATGCAGCTGTGGCTTCTAGCAAGTCTCTCTCCCTTCTATATGGACAGCGAAAACTGAAACTCTTATGAGGAAGTGGCACTCTCCATCATTCCTCAGTTTTCTTTTATATCCTTTAAGTCCTGAGTCACTCTAGGGAGGGCCCTCTATGCTCTAAGGAAGGGCCTCCATGCTCTAGGGGGAGTTCTTCATGTCCTAGGGAGGGCCCTCCAAACCCTAGGGTGTGGAATTGCTGAGCCAATTTAGTTCAGCTTTTAACTTCTCAAGTTGACACAATGTATAAACCGCTATAGTTCATTAACATTTTTGGAGCTTTGTGGCCTGTATACTGTATGTAATTTCTATTTAGTTGCCTCTGCTACAAATACAGGCCTGTTGTTGTTGCCAGTGGTGAAGGATAGGCCTGATCTATGGTTGATTTTTCACAGCAGGATCCTAACTACATTTGTTTCCCGCTCAGCTTGGGTGGGGAATGACTCAGGCCAGCCTGAGTATGTGCAGATAAGCACTAAGTCTATCCATATATTCTGGTGGAGGTCAGAGCCAATGACACAGACACTGAAGTCTGAGTTGGCTGCAGGGTATGGGTGCCAGCACTGTGGCTTGAGCTTGCAGAACATCCAGTGGGGACAGGTTTGGCCCTAATTAAGATGGGTCTTCCAGGAGTACCAGGTAAAGATTTCTGGCTGAGGTTGATGTTTCAATAAGACCCCTAGAGGAGGCCGAGGCCTCTTTGGATTATTTTGAGTGTGGGTCTGGCATTGTTGGTGGCAGTTTTCCAAATAGCAGCAAGAAGCAGTTTGTTGTGTATACCATCCATGTAGGAGAGTTTTGGCCATAATGGCTTTGTCCAAGGTGACCACAGCATATCCAGCCTGTCAGACTCCACTCCTAACAGAAGTACTTCTGTTTGTAAACAGGATGTATTCAGAATCTGTCAGGGGTGTCCATTGTTTAAAGTCTGATTGGCTTGAGAACAGTTTGTCAGGTAGTGCCAGGCAGTCATGCTCTGATGGGTCTAGCTTGGTGGGCAGGTGTGTGGCAGAATTCAGGAAGTCCAGTATGGCCTGTGGCCCCCAGGCAGCCCTTAGTGACTGAATTCAAGTATTTGTAGGTCACTGGCTGCTCCCAGGGGTTGACAGTGTAAATATATATATATATGGCGTGTGTGTGTGAGTGAATTCAAGGATCCAGATTTTGTAGAGGCCATCAGCTCTTAAGAAATTTGCAGGGGTTTTTTTTGTTTGTTTTTTGTTTTTTTGTAACCTGTTTCTGCCAGATATTGTAGCAGAGCTTTTATGCTTTTCCAGCAAGCAGCTTGTATGTCATTAATGAGAAATGCAGTGGTGTGTGTGTGTGTGTGCGCGCCAGGAAACTAGCAAGGAGATATGTGGACCCTTTCTAAAGAGGATAAACAAGGTTTTGAACTTCTGGGAGGTTGAATCCAGGTCAGTTGACCTTTGACCCAGAACTAGAGTCTTTCTATGTAAAGGTGAAGAGGGGAATGGCTGGCAGGAGCCAATCCATGGCAAAAAAAGACATTTGTTAGGTCCAGGCGGGT